CTTGCCTGCCCCCAACAAAGATATGGGTAGAAGCAGGCTTTGGCACAGTGGACAGCACACCTCACCCCTTCTCCTGGCTCACCTTGCAGTCAGCGGACCTGGGGCACTGGGTACCTGGCTGAATAATGCATGATTATACACCACCAGCCACAAGTCTGAACACTGCAGGCCACAGTCGTGTCCAAAAATCGTGCGGAGATGGAGGGAGTGTGTGTCACCTGAAGCCTTTCTGAAGGCTGGGTTGGGAATTGGGCTTCTCTTGGTCCCGGTACTTTACATGGAGACGCCAGGAAATGGCTACCTGGTCCTGCTTGCCTTCGAATTCCTGAAGGTGACGTTGAGGACACACAGACTCCTGGTTTCCCTGTTTGCCTGACTTGGAAGCCCCCGCCCGCCCGCGGCGAGGGTTGGAACTGAAACTCTGTGGTTGAAGGCAGGAGGAGAGATTTGGGACACACAAACGGACAGACGGATGGGACACAGACTCTGGAAACTTCCTCGACTGCAGCCCGGGGCAGCAAGTTGGACTGTGCACCCAAGCAGGTGGCTCTGCTTTTAGGGAGAGAAGCCAAAATGCAGCCATCACACCTGAAGTCTGAGGCCTCCACAGGGGAGGCACTCCTAGGTGAGGGTGCGAGTGGTAGTGTACAAGCCCCGCCCCCAAAATCATGAATGACAGAGGGGGTGGGGTGGCCTGAGTCCTCTGAGAGCCAATGGCACTCAAATTCACTGCCATTGAATTGATGCCGACTCCTAGGGACCTGATAGGACAGGGTAGCACTGCCCCTTGTGAGTTTCTGAGACTTACTGTTTATGGGAGTAGATAGCCCCATCTCTCACCCTGGGAGCGGCTGGTGGTTTCGAACTGCCCACCGGCAGAGGGAACAGCAACTTCAAAGGCGTGGGGCTGTAAGATCCTGGGCCCGTTCAAGACCCTCGAGTTGATACTATGGTGAAGGTTGAAAAGACTTGACGGGACACAAAACAATCTTATTAATTTCTTCACCTACTGATTAGCTGACTACCCCCATCGAATGTAAAAGCTGGAGAGTGGCTGTTTGTTCGTCTGATTCTCGGTCGGAACCTCACAGCCCAGAGCAGCCTGTAGCACACAATTTCCACCGCTATCGAGTGCATCTGCCGGCTCATCTTGAGCCTGCGGGGACATAAGCGAACTGCTGGGAGCAGACAGCTCGGTCTGTCTCCTGTGGAGCAGCAAGTGATTTTGAACTGCTGACCTAGCAATCGGTACGACCACTGCGCAACCACTGCGTCCCCGGAAATGTGAATGCCTAAGCAGAAAGGGCCTGGAGAGGATGATGGCAATCATGCTGGGGGCCGCGGGAGCTTCTGGAACTTTCCAAGTAGAGAAAGAACAGGATCTTCGTGTGAGTTGTAGAAAGAGACTCTTGATAAGGGCCGTGCTGGATGGGGAGGCTGAAAAGACCAAAGGAGGATGTCTTAAACTAGAGCAGGTCAGTGAACACAGTCGTGTCAGGCTGAAAAAATATTGATGCACGATAAGAGCACCCCCAAATTAATTAAGGACTTCTGACACCACATGGTGGCTGTGCTAAGGTCTGAGGGGGAAAACTCCTTTTTGGATCAAAAGTAACATTTGTTTCAGGAACGTGGCTTGTCATTCCTGTAACTCTCCACAGCACCCAATTAAAGAAAAAATCAGAGAACAATGTTATTTTGCTTGCTTCAAGGTTTTGCTTAGTAGTGTAGTGGAGATGCATTAGGCCGCTGTCAGGGTAGACCAGCCCCTGACATATCATCACGGGTCCGGTAGGCGCAATTGCACAGCGATAATAAGTAAAGATTATCGTA